GTCCCACGGGGATGGCCATATCTTCTTCAATCCTGATCCGATTCTCAAGCGGAGTACCTTAAACGATTTCTGGATCGATTCTCCATCATTCTGCATCAAAATCCTGAGACGAAATATTTTTTAAATTTTTTGTCCATTTTTCGTGATGGGATCCCTGAAAAATGAGGGATCCCACTTGAAAATGGGGTTTTCCCTATAGGGCCCACGGGGATGGCCATATCTTCTTCAATCCTGATCCGATTCTCAAGCGGAGTACCTTAAACGATTTCTGGATCGATTCTCCATCATTCTGCATCAAAATCCTGACACGAAATATTTTTTAAATTTTTTGCCCATTTTTCATGATAGGATCCCTCGAAATGAGGGATCCCACTTGAAAATGGTGTTTTCCCCTATATGGCCCACGGGGATGGCCATACCTTCTTTAATCCTGATCCGATTCTCAAGCGGAGTACCTTAAACGATTTCTGTATCGATTCTCCATCATTCTGCATCAAAATCCTGAGACGAAATATTTTTTAAATTTTTTGTCCATTTTTCATGATAGGATCCCTCGAAATGAGGGATCCCACTTGAAAATGGTGTTTTCCCCTATATGGCCCATGGGGATGGCCATACCTTCTTTAATCCTGATCCGATTCTCAAGCGGAGTACCTTAAACGATTTCTGGATCGATTCTCCATCATTCTGCATCAAAATCCTAAGACGAAATATTTGTCAGATTTTTTGTCCATTTTTCATGATAGGATCCCTCGAAATGAGGGATCCCACTTGAAAATGGTGTTTTCCCCTATATGGACCACGGGGATGGCCATACCTTCTTTAATCCTGATCCGATTCTCAAGCGGAGTACCTTAAACGATTTCTGTATCGATTCTCCATCATTCTGCATCAAAATCCTGAGACGAAATATTTTTTAAATTTTTTGTCCATTTTTCATGATAGGATCCCTCGAAATGAGGGATCCCACTTGAAAATGGTGTTTTCCCCTATATGGCCCATGGGGATGGCCATACCTTCTTTAATCCTGATCCGATTCTCAAGCGGAGTACCTTAAACGATTTCTGTATCGATTCTCCATCATTCTGCATTAAAATCCTGAGACGAAATATTTTTTAAATTTTTTGTCCATTTTTCGTGATGGGATCCCTGAAAAATGGGGTTTTCCCTATAGGGCCCACGGGGATGGCCATATCTTCTTCAATCCTGATCCGATTCTCAAGCGGAGTACCTTAAACGATTTCTGGATCGATTCTCCATCATTCTGCATCAAAATCCTGACACGAAATATTTTTAAATTTTTTGTCCATTTTTCATGATAGTGGTGAAAATGGTGTTTTCCCCTATATGGCCCACGGGGATGGCCATACCTTCTTTAATCCTGATCCGATTCTCAAGCGGAGTACCTTAAACGATTTCTGTATCGATTCTCCATCATTCTGCATCAAAATCCTGAGACGAAATATTTTTTAAATTTTTTGTCCATTTTTCGTGATGGGATCCCTGAAAAATGGGGTTTTTCCCTATAGGGCCCACGGGGATGGCCATATCTTCTTCAATCCTGATCCGATTCTCAAGCGGAGTACCTTAAACGATTTCTGGATCGATTCTCCATCATTCTGCATCAAAATCCTAAGACGAAATATTTGTCAGATTTTTTGTCCATTTTTTTAAAAAAGATAGGGTAGGGGAAGTCTCTTTCAAAATTTGACCAAAATTATAATACCCTCAGCTAGGGTATTAAGATTTAATGAAACGACCTAAGTAATCGATAGGGTGGGCCGGCCTCAAGGACCAAAACAAACATGGCCGGCAAAGAGCAACTCGCATTCAAAAGCGAACCGCAAACATTATGAATTATAGATATTCTAATTTGGATCTTATCGCACTCATTAACACCTTAGGCCCGGAGGCAGGCCTTTAGAATTGGACCCTTTGCGCTGAAAGCCTTCCACGGGGCTTCTCTCTAACCCGATAAAGGTTATCTGGCCGAGAAAAGTGGAGCATCGCTGGAAGCTCACCAGCGCCAGCCAGTGTGTCAAGGGTGAGGCACTTCACTGGCGAGTACGGAAAAGTTCCTGCTTGAGGATCTGCATTCGCAATATGGCCAATCGACTATTTTCGATTGGCAATTACCAATTACCGATTGCTGTTCATCAGCTTTCGGCTTAAATTGAAAGCCTTACAATTGCAGCTCAGGCATGTAATGAAATAATGGAACAAAGTGCAACACGGACAAAGGTTGCGTACGGTGGAAAGGTGGCGGGGCAGGTGGCCGCCCGGCGGGTGACACTTGTGCAGCTTCAGCAGAATTTTTAATTAAAATCTTTGTGCTCCCACTGTGCGTGCTTAATTAATTGTGCTTTAGCTGCAGCGGCGGCAGCAAGGAATCCAGCTCCAGTTTGCCAGGAAAAATAGTACCAGATAAACAACAGACACGAGTGAAGAATGTTAATGTACAATATTGAGAGAAGATCTCTAAAAAATGTGGTAGCCTCTATGATTTTAAATTTTTGAAGGACTTTTTTAAATTCTTCATCGTCAAAAAAGAAATGCTTATGAATCCTCTCATCTGTGATTTACTTGTTTTCCAGAGGGTTTCGTATTTATGGAACTTTTTCTACTCCTTCTCGTCCTTTTAGACTTCTTCTGGACTTTCCTCCCCTCCAAAACACACCCACACTCAGGCTCACAGGCTCACTGTCTCGGGGCGAAGTGCTTTCAGCACAAAACAAGTGTAAATCAAATAAAACCTAATAAAATATATAAAGGGGCGAAGGCAGGTTGCCACACGACTCCCGCCTCCCGCCACACGCACAGCCATACGCATATGTGTCCCACCCACTCACCCACACACTCAATGGCCCAGATGGGCATGGAAAAAAAAGGGAAAACGAAACCTAAATGGCAAACGAATTGAAGTCAGCAATTTTATGTTTTATTGCAATTCTTGCCTTTCACGCCACCACCCACGCCCCACGCCTGACTTCCCACCCACCATTCACATTCTATTTTACGGTTACCTAGCATCCCCGAACGTCGAGGAGTGAGTCCTTCTCCCTTCTCTCTATTTGCCACGGTTTGTCAGGGGACACCCAAGGATTCCGACTCATACGGAACCATTTTCCATGCGGCATCAAAAGGAATAACTCTGCCCCGAGCTGGCGAAATCGCTTAAACCGAAGATTTTTTGCCACTGCCGCTGGTTAAAGGGGGGGGCTGCCTGGCGAAAGGGGTTGGGCGATGCGTTTGGCTGCAGGCAGTTTTGCTCCCCTACTGCCCTGCGACCTGCGCATATGTCATAAATGGGGTCTGGATTCTGGGTCTGGGTCCTTCGGCCTTTGCAAGGACAGGGTGGAAACGCAACTGCGATTATATCTTTGCGTGGCTAGCTGTACTAATTCTACAGAAGGAGGGAATATAACATAGAGAACCCTTCCATAGAACATACCATATGAGGGTATCCAAAATTCGTTTTGTCCACCCCCCACCAGGCGTCTTGTTTATTCTTTTATCGGTCTCCCTGCCGCAAGTGCGCTGCAATTGTGAGACAGTTATAGATACGGCGGGATATCAGTCTAAACACATGGACACGGACACGTACACGTGTGGCCATGTGCGTGGGCTTTTGGCCCAAAGTGCGGCAGTGTGCGTGCTCTCGGGGAGGTATTCATGCGTGTTGTTGTTTGGCCGCCCCTCCCCCTCCCCGGATAAGGTTTTTCTATTGAAATCATTTCCATTGAATTGGGTGGGGAAGGGGTCTAAATTGTTTTGAAGCTAGCATAAATTATGGAAAATTGTTGAACATGCATAATTTATGGCTGGCAATATCAAAGTAATTCAATAAATGGGTCCGAGAACAATAATTTATTGGGGGCTCGATCTCGATCGTGGAACCTCAAAAATACGGCATCTTTGCGGCATAAATTTTGTGTTTCTATCCACAAAATCGAATTCAATTTGAAAGTCAATAATTCATTTCTGACCAACCGGAGAGTGTTGAGAGTTGAATTAAATCTAAATTTCATTTGTGCGATAACTTTGGGGAATGGACATCGATTTGTTTACTTTCGAGGCGCCACAACACTGTGGTACCAGAAGCCGGAGCCGAAGTTGGACCCGGCGCCGGAGACAGTGAGAATGCGGATGCGGATCCCGGAGGCTGCTCACGCCCGGGCCATAAAACTTTTATATCAACTTATGTACACTTACAACGGCCATTATAACGCATTAAACATAAACGCTGTTTCATGGACTCCCCCTTGGCCCACAACTAACCAGGATCTGCTCCTCCTGCCCCCATTGACTTTCGCCGCTTTTGTGGAGCTATCTAATTGCCAGTGGGAGCCAAACCTTCACACACTCCACAAACTTGGCCATGGGGTGGTAATAAATCATTGGCTATGACGGCTTCTGGTATTTTGCCCCTGCTGCTGATGCTGCACCATCGACCTCATCGAACATTAAAATAATTGCAGGACGCAACTTGGCCAATGATTGTGCACTGTTCGTGTTCATTAATGATAATTAAAAAAGTTTGCCCATCAGCTAGTTCATTAGGGGTAATGCCCAAGTGCCGGGAATCGGTTTTAGTCAGGATTTCAGCCTCCGGCTCTGGCTATGGCTCTGACTCAGCCTTGGCTGCTTATGCTTCCGGAACAGCTTGTTGCATGTCCTGCCTCTGGGCGTTGCAATTGCAGTTTCCTCTTCGATTGCAGAAGTCATATTTCAGAGCCCAAAAGTAGGCAACGGCCAATTGATGTCTGCCCTGTCCCCGCTTGTTGTTCTGCCAAATGTAAACAAACATTTTCCACACACATTGCTGGGGGATGGAGCAAGAGGGGGATGGTGGAGGGGTTTCCTGGAAGCCACATGCACGTGCAGATTACGAGAGACGCCACTCCGGTGCGCAGACTCACCAAAGGAGAGCCCGTGTTGGGTTTTCCAGAGGCATTCAAAAGCCATTGTTCGGTTTCTGAGCCAGTCAGTTCGTTCGCGTTTACCGCCGGAGCAGCTTGGGAAGAGCTCGTGTTATCCGGGATTGGCACCTCTTTATTGGCCAAGAAACGAAAGTTTTTCCGCGAGTTCCGCAGGCTAAACGGAGCACCATTATAATTCAAATAGTCCATACTCCAATGATTAGTGGCATATCCCGATAAAAAGGATACAATACCCAAGGATATAAATCGGGACGACAAGTGGTTTTCGAGTTGTTTGCCCGTCGGTGGCCCGGACTTGATGGCTTTGACATTGGCGCCACATTTGCATCCGGGCAGGTGTAAATATTCATTACTCTGTAGCTGGAAAGTTGCTGCCTGCTTTTAGCATAATTAAGCGCATTAGGGCGGGTCGGCACCAGCCCCGCTCCCAGGCCACCACTCTTGCAGCGTCCTGCAATCGTCCTGCGGCGCCACAAGGAAAGGACAAAAAACTTGGCCAAAGCCTTGAAACTTTGAAGAGCAGCCGCCAGTCAAAGCAGCTTTAAGGCTCCAAAGCAAACGAACTGCATGGTAAGTTGCTGTTGTGTTGTTGTCAGTGGTGCGGAGAGGAAAGGGGAGGCGGAGGTGGATGGGGGGAGAACACCTGCAGCACTTAGCTGTTTTCGAGCTTTGGCCACGCTGCTCTTGGCCAAGTTAGCAGCTTGTTTATAGTTGGTTAATTGAAGCCCTGACTAAAAGTCCGAGAAACTTAAATTGAATACTGCACTTGCCAGTCTTAATTATGCAGGGCACGGGTCTGGAATTCATCTCGCCCGGGGGTAGGCGGAGGCCGAGAAACTCAAAAAAATCCAGCTCCATGCAGATTACTGGGCCCTGGACCAGAAGTCAATTCTTTACAATCTGCTCCAGCTCCAGTCAGTCTTAGCAAATCCCTCTACTACAATAGTAATCTCTCTATCACAATTTTCCTGTTCCACGTCTCGCTTCCGAATCGAAACGAAACTTGAATGGCTTAAGTGATTTAGCAACTCGATCGCATTCGTTTTTGTATTTCGATTTCCAGTGGCAGTGGGAAAAAAATATGCTCAAAGGGGAACTAGGATAGTAATGAAGTTTCCCTCTTCCTATTATTGTGTTCAGCTGAATAGGTTGGCTGCCAAAATCTAAATACAAGGCAGAGCACAATTTAAAGGACGTGGTATTCTAAGTAACTTTTAAATCTTCCCTTAGGATCCTGAGATTTAAGTACGAAGGCTATCATTATTTTCCCTCAGTGTCGAGAGTAGTGATGTTTCCTGTTTTGGATGCGGGTCGGGATTCGTTGCCTATTTTCGGGCTCTGCGGAAAACTTTTTAAGTGCCAAAGCAAGAGGCGCAGAATTAAATTAAAAATGGGGCCAGCGAACTAGGAGGAATATCGGTCGGTGTGCAAATAACACGAAGCATGGTCTCCGGCTTCAAATTCAATTTAAGAAGCATATCCCCCAGGCCCCTTCCCGCACAATAGTTAAGCGGAAATGTAAGTCCCCGTGGGCAAAGGCATCACGGAGTCTTGGAAGTGTGTCAAAGTACGTAAAACTGACGAAGGGATCAATCGAATCGAATCGAATCGTATCGAATCGGAACAGAAAAGAAAAGGCTATGTGGAGGCACAGGCGACGGCGAAGGCGAAGAAAACCAAACCAAACAGCCACGAGCCATAAAAATGGGCCAAAATGAGTGGGTGGGTGAGACGTCAAAAGAAATTGAAATGGAACTCAAGCAAAAACTACTTTGTTTGCGATTAGCACTTGGCCGGATTATGGGCGGCGGGGCTGAGGCACTCGACGAGGAGGCCGAGAGGAAATGAAATGTGTGTCAATATATTGATTGAATAATGGTCTACATATTGACAAACAACTCAAAAGGCACTCGATAGGCAGGCAGTCGTAGACGCATTCCAGTCACCCAGAACAGGGAGGCCTCAGTCCTGGGCGCTACAGGAAACGGAAGTTACGCACACACACGCACATCGCCCTCTCCCTCCTCATACTGGCACAAGGATAGGACCTCTCATAGAGACATGCTCGCATGCTAGAAGCTGTCGAATCGGCGAATGCAAAGTGAGACATCAAAAGCATTTCGAGTGCCTCGTCATCAATGTGAGGCATCTGCCAGAGTCCCAAGAATATATGTATGTACCACTGTGTATAGAACAAGGGGGTGTAGAGGTCCGTGTCGATCACGAAGATGAAGATGAAGATGCTCCCTAGACGAAGCAGTGACGGAGGCGGTGTGTCCTCGTTGTGTAACACGTGTTCCTTTAATTAGATAAAGTTTGTTTGCATTACAAACATACTGGCAGCAATTTGGCCCTGTGCTCGGTTGTCGATGGCAACGGTTCTTTGGAGTTTTATATTTTTGCCACCCCTCAGTCTCAGCCTCCCCCATCCCGGACGCCCCCTCCGTTTTCTTTTTCTGGCTTCTGGAAGGAAAACTCCCCAGCGGGAAAAGTTTCTCTTTGGGGCATGATTGACTGACGCACGTCTAGTCAAATAAAAATGGCAAATAGAAGAAATAAAAATAAAAAATATGCCAGCCAACTTATGCAAATAATTCTATTGAGTGGAGCTGTACAAAATTCTGGCCATTTCGTGACGCAAAGTTCTGTCGATTTTCGTTTTTCGCGTAAACTTTTGTTTATTTATTTTCTTTGTGGCTATTTTCGAAGAATTTATTTTCCTGCCCCATACAATTTGAATCATTTATCAGGCCTCATTAGCTCTCAAAGAGAGCTCCTGAAATTCCCCCGTTTCGATTGCAATTTAAGCTGCAAATGCCACACTGAAGCCAAATATTAAGGCCAACGTGCATATATTTAACGAGCCGAAAGCCACACTTGCAAAATCCCTACAAAGGCCTTTGAGATTTCAAGGCTTTCTTCTGTGCCGCCCCCTTCTCCCCAAGGCTGCTGGCTGGTACTCTTTGTTTCTTTGTTTGTTGTGCAAGGCGCAGCGCCAACTTGTTGTTAATTAAAAGCTCACAAAAGTAGGTAACATGCATATTAAACTCACACAGCCAGGACGGCTCGGCTCGGCCCGCTCTCAATTGTTGCACACACATATTAATTCAGGCTGAATGCCTGAGTGTGTATGTGTGAGTGTGTGTGATGGCGGTTCTTCCTCTTCCTTCGACACAACAATGAAATGGCGACCATTGAGAAGGATAACAATGAAGGCCGCTCTGCCAGGCACATAAACTTGCCAAACAAACACAAGGAAAGTGCGCAGCCAACAACAATAACAACGCCATCAAACAATGCCAACAACAACAATAAAACACACTAACACAAATCTTTATTTAAGCATAACACAGTGACTCAAAAAAAATAAAAAAACCGAGAGAAAGAATGGCCGAAAGAAAGCAATTCAATGGTGGAAGCCCGCAAACACACACAAAACCCTGACTGAAAGAAGACCCAAAGAAGATTGGAGAGGACCAAGGGCGGTACAAGGGCCTGCGAGTGAAAAAAAATTAGAACAGTCCCTCGGGATATGCAACACATAAAACTGCCACCCCAAGCTGGGAAGGCGACTTGAAGCGCCTTTAACTCGGCCAATGCACTCGAAGAAAATTGGTGTGCCATGGGGAAGGGTTTTGTTTCTAATGCACTTTTTTTAAGTTTTATTGTCGCATTTTTTTCAGTGTCATTCATGCAGTTGGCCAGCCATTTCCGTTTCAATGTCTCCCATTTAGTCCGATGGCAGTTAGGCCATTCCTTTTCACTTCCACTCGAATCCAGTTTTAAACTTGGCTCGGCCTACACACGCACACACACTCGACCACTCACACACTGGCGGCCTAGGGTGTGTGCTTTCCCGATTTCCTCCCTCTGCGGCAAAGTTCTCCCTGACTCCTTGGGGGGAGAGACAGGACGCAAGGCTGCCAAAAACTTTGCATCGCAAACTTTTCTGCATATATTTTCCACAAAACGGATGCTTGTTTTTCATGTCTGCTGGCTTATTTCGTTTTGGGGTTTTCCATTTTAGGTTTTTCCACTCCTTCCGTGCCTCTGATTCCGACGCCAACGGGCATATTCACTTAGAGCGCCCCTCAAAAAATTCAAATGCTTTAATCGCAATTTATCAAATTGGAGGAGGCCGGGCTAAAAAGTTTTTGCCTTTCGGAATTGGGGCATTGTAAGCGTTTAATTTGTCAGCCATTTGCTTAGTTAAAAGTTTTCCATTTCCCATTTCCCCTTTCACAATTCCAATTCAACATGCCGGTATCGGGGGTTTTATTTTTCGATGAGGAATAAATCCAAAAGTTGGAACATGGTTTATTTAAAAGGTTTTGTGGAGAGAGGCGAGTGTGTGAGGAGGGGAAATATACTAAAATATAAATCTATTATTTATGGTAACAGCAATATACCATTTTTATTTGGCAAATGAAATTGAATCAATTATTTAGGTTTGATTTAATATTTAAATTTGGCAACAGAAATATAAGCCATCTCAGAAACGTTTATGTTTCTGGTAGGTTTTCATTTAAAACTTTTGAATATTTATTTCCTTACAAATAAAACTATTAATTCCTTATTAAATTTTGTCTTCAACTTTATCCTTTAAGAATTCTTTATAATGTCCGTAGTTCCCATAAACAGCCACTTCAGATGTCCCTATCTTGGCCAATATTTTTCTAGATCGATTTTCAGATCGATAAGCCTGATATTCTGCATCAAAACTGATAGATTTAGCCTTCCTTCAACACCACATCTCTTTTCAAACATTTTAGATATCATAGCTACCCCTATCTACCCAAGAATCGTTCTAATCTTAACTTCATTATCTTTCCAGGCTTTTGAAGTGAATTACGGCTAAGCGATGAGGCTCCTGATCACCCAAGGATGTCCTTTTCTGAACGCAACACACCCAGCCATGGGCAGGGATCAGGAGGAACTGGGAGTGGATCGGGCACCTCCACGCATCGCACCCACCAGAGGCCACCTGATGTTGAGGAGGCTCTCTCCTCGATGCTATGGACTCCTTACGAGCGCACGCCAGTTCCTAGCTCCTCGGAGGAGGAGGCCGAGGAGGAAGACGACGACGAACGACTCAACCGGCAGCTTCGCAAATCGCACAGCAGCTATGAAGCCTCGGCGTTAAGCCGATCGCAGCACCCCCACCTTCCCCTCACCTTTGCCCACCACCGACAGGTCCTGGACAGCGGATCCAATGCCCTGCTTCTGCCCCCCGTGCCTTCGTTTCCTCTGTTCAGTTTGAGCGCCTTCGATGCAGCCATTTCCGACTTTGATCATCTCGGAAAGAGCGGATGGTCCAGTAATAGCGGCAGGCGGAACCGATACTCGTTCCCCGCCTATCTGGGTAGTCCTCCCGGCCACTCTCTCACCCAGTGGTGCTCCTCGTCTGCCGCCCCAATCAAGGAGCCACCCTCTTACGACTCATTGTATTCCTCCACCTCGGACGCCAAAGGTGCTTCGCCGGCTCCGCCCACCTCCCTGCTCCTCAAAGCCGGCGTGGGAGCGGTCCTCGAACCATGTGATAGATCGCTACGATCGCCAACGAAAAAAACAGCAGCCGCCGCTGCAGGAAAGGATCCAAAAGAGGATGGGCAGGAGATAGTAGGATCCCAGGCTGCTCCACTAACGGCTAAAGTTCCCGCTGGACTGGGTCTAAAGCGCTCCTTTACGGATGACTACATATCGCAGGTGAGTTTGGAGACTAGGAAGCATAGCGATTACCTTTCCCATTCCTGGCAAGAGACCTCGCACCATAAACCCCCACCCAGGGTCACACATATTCAGTTGCTTAATGGAGCACCATCAAAATTGATGTCAAGGGTTCAACACAAACTGCTTGGCGCCGTCAATGGGAAATTGCGGGACTCGGGCGCGAAATGGGAGCGCCAAGTCGAACTGTCGCCTTATCGGGCCCATTGACAGCCTCGTACTCCGTACTCCGTCAGGGTACTCTCCCTCCCAACTCCCGCCATTCTATTGTAACCCCGATAAGGGCTAATGCTTCACTTAGGCCCTTAAGTGCCTCGCTAGCATCCCTTACAGATAAGCGCCATATGTTGCCTATCAGTATCGAACACTGGAACTCTAAAGGGCAGGGACTGTGGGCTGAGGGGGCGTGGTCTGTTTCCACATATTAAATTTTATATTCATATGCATCAAAGTATGGGCATAAAGTACTCGCATAGGGGCTCGCATGCCGCCGTGTTGTCAGTGCGCACTTTATAATTTGTTTATGTGGCGTCAGCGAAACGGAAAATTGACCGCACAAAAATGACAAAGCGAATAGGGGGGATATAACATATATAAGTGTAATAACAATGGGCTGTTATATGGGGAAACAAAAACACCAATTTGCATTTAAAAAACAAAATATTCCATCAAAACAACCGCAGCCATATCAATCGAGATTAAAGTCAATACCTTTTATTAATGCAAAGAAAGGAATAGGAAGATATTAGTGGTATTTTTTGTTTAGAAGAATTCATATCAGACTGGTTCTTGAAGTCTTCTATCATCTCTGGGTTTTTGGGACTCTAATCTGTTACCAATGTCAAACCCTTCATGGCTGGCCGACTTTAGGCAGCACTGACAAATGGCTCAGACCAAGTTATTGCCCATATGGTGGCTCCCACAGCTCCTCCTCGGATGTATGTATGTGCATCCCCCCACTTATGTGGTGCGTAGCTTTGATGACTGGCTCATGACGAGAGGTTTATGGGCAAGAAGTAATGAAGTTGCCAGCTCGCTTTTCCTCACCAAGCACCGTTAGCCGGCGATGAGTTTGGCTTTTTCGGTGCCCCACCACCTCCATAGCCCGGATGATGATGTTGCTGCTGTGATTGCAACCAAACAGCAACGCAATCACAGTGCACAAGACTGAACAATAAGTTCCGCCCGGAGGAGGAGGAGGAGGTAGGGCCAACAGTAAATCACATTATATTTCTGTGACGTAATTAAGGCAAGTAACACAGCGTAACATAATTAGAACCCGCACACACCAAAACATTGGAAAAGTGCCGCGTATATCCGAGGGATATACCCCATCATATATGTATGTATATGGCTTTTAACCCACATCTTTCGGAAGGGACTTGGCGGCGAATTTATCAGCCCAGCTCAGGCAGGGATGTCAGCAACACCAACAATTACTTGTGACGGTTTTATGTTTATGCGTTGGCTTAATTAATTCAATTAAGCGCACATTTATGCTTGGGACCCAGGATCCCTCCTTGAATCCCTCCACTGGAGTGTCACCTTTTTTTATTTTGCGAGAAAGTGCTTAGTAGGGTTGCGGGTAAATGAAACCGACTTAGGCTTAGGCAGCCGGTAATCCCCCCGGCAATTAGCATTAATTACGATTTGAAACTTAAATCTTGACTTTTGCGTCTCTTTCTCTTTTCCGTAGAACTGCGCTTCATTCACGCCAGCAACAATAAACAACACCGAGAAGACAGCAACCACTGAGGCGACGGAAACCCAAAGCCGGAGCCGAGCAACGAATGCGAGATCACAACAAAGCGAGGAAAACTCTAGTGCAACGAATTGCATTATCAATGAACAGAGAAGCGATGCAACAACAGCAACACCATCGGCAACTGCAACATCAGCAGAAACTGCAGCAACAACAAAGTTGAACGAGGAAACCAGCTCAGTGGCAGTGCAGGTCAGTCAACCTGTTTCCTGTGTCGTGGTCGGCAGAGAGCCAAGAGCGAGCAAGAGAGTGGAGAACGGAGCAGCTAGCGAAGCATCTGGAGGCAACACCATCGCCATCGCCACCGCCAGCTATACCAGTTCACGCTCAGCGATCAGTCTCTCGGCAACTTACGACGCGCGAACATCGAGCGCGTGTAGCAGCAACTACCCCACCAGCAGCAGCAACCACTACCGCAACAGCAACCCGTCGAGCAACACCACCAGCAGCAGCGTGCTGCGTCCCAACAAATGTTTGGCAGAACTCGAGCGTCTCTATGCCGAATTTCGCGCGAGTGAAAGCAGATTTGAATCTGACATAGCCAACGCCAATATGCGTGTGAGTGTGCCAGCCACAGAAGCTGCCCCTGCAACAGCAACAGCAACAACATCAGCAAATGTTGCTTCTAGCAGCAGCAGCAGCAGCAGTGTGTTTCTTAATGCAACTACCGAGAATCGAGTTGTCGATGAGGCGGCCAAGAGCGTTAGCCATGTTGCTGTGCTGCCAGCTAGCAAGTCCTGCCAGCGACAGCCGAGCCTAACGATCCAAGTGAACAACAACAACAGCAATGGCAACGGCAATGGCAATGGCTACGATGGTAATGGCAACACTAACGGTACTAACAACGGTAATCGCGTCTCAGTGGCATCTTCGCCCACGAGCATCGTTAGTAACAACAACAACGGTGTGTGTGTTGTCAACTGCAGCTACACCCCCAATAGCAGTAGCTCCAGCACCACCCAAACCACCCAAACCCCCACCACCAACAACAACAACAACAACAGTGTGGTGGAAATTAATAATTGTGTGCCAGCAACCAAAGTGTTCAGTGCGAGTGTACAAAATAAGCTGAATAATAATCCGAGTCCAGAACCAAAAGTTCCGGACCACAGTGTCAATATAATCAATGTGAACCCGCGCACCTTCACCTCCATCGAATGCCAAACCGACGACCTGACCCCCAGTCCAGCCACTCCCTCGGAGACCCAGGATCAGCGGCAACAGCAGCAGCAGCAACAGATCCGGACACGCGAGCAACGTCGCCGCGAGAGAAGGGAGCGCCGGCAGCAGCAACAGCAACAACAGCACTTTCCGCCGCATCATCCACGACGGCCTCCACCTCCGCCCTCCATGCAGCCACAGCTGCACCCGCCCCCGCATCTGCACCACCCTCATCCACATCCCGCTGCCCTGGGACTGGCGCGTGCTCTGTTGCCGGACATCCTGCATCCGCACTACCCGCCGCCGTACAGTGCTCTGCCCGTTCCGGTGGCAGTACCCGTGCCCGTGGCTGTGCCACCACCGCCTCCACCGGCTGCCCCCAGTGGTGGTCCTCCGCCGCCGCCTCCACCGGCGCTGACCTCCGTGATTTCGACGGTGCCACTGCCCGGGACGCTGCCAGCGCCCCTCATGAGTGACGGGCGCTTCACGTTGCCGCTGCCCATCATGCGCAGGTGAGTTCTTCAGGCGATTCCTACATTCCTACCCAGCTTCTAGTCATGTCGATCACTCATCCGCCCGGTCAGGAGCTCCTTTGTCAGTCTCCAGTTACTGCACTTGGAGAAAATCCAATCCCTGAAAGATTTCTGCATACGAATGGCGTTGTTTTTGGAGATTGGGGACTTGAGGGAAGAAATAATTTAACATTTTCTGCGAGTGTCGGTTTTCGACATTTTCTATTACCACACACTGGCTTTGTGGGGCTGGCTCTTCCTGCTTCGTGTTCGTGTTAGACGGCCCAGACATTATAATGATGGTAATTTTTATGTCAGTAACAAATTTCTTGCATGATTTGATTCTCCACCTCTCGAACCTCGAATCTCGAATCCCGAAAACCAGGAAACGAGGTCCAGGCCGGGCAAGTGGTGTAAAAATTAATTCTCATCGTTGACAGCTTCCAAGAAATTAACACAAAAGACGGGGCTCTAATTTAAAGTTCAGCCAGCGGTCAGCTGGGTCATTATTCTTGGCTAGTTTCGGCGAAAAGTTTTTAGGTACCGGGTACTCTGGGGGCTTTGTGTCTGTGGCTTTAATAACTCATTTTTATTATAATGAGTTTGGGCTTATCTGTAATTGCACATCTAGCCGCTGGCCTGGTGACTGGCTGACTGGATGACTAGCTGCCCGGCCATAATTCCACATCGGATTGCCTAGTCGATTTCCCACGCATTTATTGCCCGCTGAGACACCGAGATACTTTACTATACTTGGGTACTGGCAGAACCAGTTTCCTTTGAAAACCGAAACACAAATAATCGATGCCGCGTGTACTCGAACTTGTATCTGAGCTGTATCTGTATCTGTGCTAATGTAGCTGTAGCTGTATCTGACGGATGCGCGCGCTATCTGTCTAATGGCCTGCCTAAAAGTCTTCCCCACCCCCACCCGCTGTGAACATTTGACATTTTCGCGACATCAGTTCCTCCAGTCAAGAGCAAGTCGCAATCTCAAGTCGTGCTCCCCAGTTTTAATTGTGTTTGCCCATTGAATAACGTCGAACTGTGTCAGGCCAACCTCTTTGTCCGAATTAGCTCTTCTTTGTCTCAATAGGGGGGGCGGGTTGATTTGCATATTTATGGGGATCTACTTCAAATTCTCGACCCCGCCTCAAGTGCGCCCATTAAGTTAATTGTTTCGCGTGGCAGGGCAATATGAGGCACGTCTTTGGATTAATCATATCTGTGCAGCAGGGCAGTGTTCTAATAACACCTGGCGATGTGTGCGATGACACCCCCATCCCCAAGTCACCAGCTTAGAAGGCTTAAACGCCTTCCAGCCCCCCGACAGAACCCGGGGGATAATTGGGTCGCTTAATAGAGATCCCTCAATCGGAGTGCGAACCGGAGGAGAGAGCTCAAACAACAAACCGCAGACATTATCTGCAATTTTAACACCTTCAGCCTTTCGGCCCAAATTAACATGCTCTTACACAACCCAAATGCTGTGCTTTCGGCCTTTTTACTTGGCCTGGCCGAAAGGTGTAAAAAAAAAAACAAAAAGCGAAAGTTTCGTGGCTCAGTGAGATTGGGTAGGACCCGGTGATGCCGGTGATGCAGGAGAGTAAAGGGTCGCCTGGTGGAGCGTGTATAATCTTTAAATCATTAAATAACCAAACGAGAAAAACACCAAACGAACACTGGACTGAACTGAACTGAACCCCTGAAATGAAAAATGACAACAAAACCAGCAACAAATTTCCGAGAGTAATAAAAAGGAAACGTGATGCCGAACTCACGTTGCCCCGCACTACGTATAAATCGTTGTAATCATTTTTTTTTTTTCTCTCCAGCCTCTGCCTCGGCTGTTTTTTGTTGCTTTTGGTATTCTTAGCGTTTAATTTTGTTTTCAAAACTCTGCTGAAACCGAAAACAAAAGCCAAGTTAAAAGAAAGACAAGAAAAGCGGCAGTGGCAATAAAATCAGTTGAGACGGCCAACACGAGATTCGAAAGAGATGGCCTGGTCCGCTGCCCGGAGAGTGCAAGTTTTGGCTTTTTCGGCTACTTTCACTTTCGCAGTCGCCGTATCTTCATCCGAATCTGTATCTGTGCCTGCAGATCGGGCTTAAGGTTATCGTAAGCCTGGCCCGGAGCGCAAGCCCCGATGAACTCGAACTTGAGCCATTACTGTTGCCGAATATCTTTTATTAATTACGTCGCTAATTGCCCGGGCGGATTGCTCTTGGCCGACACCGAGGAGAGTCCTGCTCGCACAGAGCTTCCCAAAAACCAGTTTGCCAGTGAGCAAGTCCAAATACCCCGAAATCAAAGCTAACATATACAACAAATTTGCATGAGGAGAAGTGCAAAAGTATCTGCAAGATACTAAGCCAGCTCGATATCGACATCGATGATTCAACTTTGGCTTGCAAATGGAAAAGAAACAGAATCAGAAGCAGAAACAAAACAGAGACTCGGATACAGATACAGATACAAAGGGGCAGCATAAAGGAGGGGATGTATCCGAATAAAACCAGATTTCGCCAAAATAAAAAAAACAAAGCAAATCCAACACGAAACCAAAACGGAGAGCGAGGCACGATCGGGTTGCAAGACGGCTGAACTCTGCAACACCGCGACTCTGAATCTTCGCATCTGTGAGATGTTCTATAAGCTCGGCTTCATCTATCTGAAGGTGACACACTTTTCCTCTAGAAAATTGAGTGATTTTCATAAGTTTTCCATTCGCAGCCCGGCAGCCCGGCAGCTCGGGAAAATCAAAGCCCAAGAGCCAGCACTCGACACTAAACTGCTGCCACCGCCGACGTAGAACTGACCAAACAACTTTCCAGTTTATGGTCTTGCAACTGGCAACTGCCAGCGGCTCCTGCCGTCCTGCTCGGCTCCTCCACCTCTGTCTCCCTCTCTTTCACTTGATTTGGCGGTGTTGGGTTTATTTATTTTTATAAGCGAGTAAACACAGCCAGCAATCAGGGAGTTTGCTAGCCGACTCCCAGCATACCCTACCCTCCTAGAGTGTTGTCTGCCCCCCGGAAACTCTTCGGAAAAAACTAACTTGTCGCAGTTGAAGAAGCTGAGAGGCTGAGAGCTGGCCACAAAACGAAATAAAACCAAACGAAGCGAAGTGAGACGAGAACTTGCCAAAAGTCAATAAAGCCAATAAAGCAAAAAGTTGCCATTCTCCAGCATAAAAATGGCTAAAAAGAAGGGGAAGATTTAGTGCACAGAGAGAAAATGTCAAGCTTTTCTTTTCAGTTCGCCTGATTTTGTAGACTAGTCTAGAACCTATTCTTTCGAGTGTAGACCAGCCATAGCCATGCCCAGCCAAAATGCGGTTGTCTGCTTGAGCTCCGGCTGCTTCTTTTGGCCCTGTCTGGGCTTGTGTAGAAAATGCATTCGGGCCAAGTTGAAATGAGCCGGTAAAATGCAGCAGCCCCAACAGAAGAGGTAGCAGCCACAGCAGCAATATCGCAAAATAGTCGCAAACAAGTTAGCAACGACGGAGTCACAGTCGGGGAATCTGAAATGGAGAGAGTTTCTGGCCGAAAGGGCCAGATACAGACCAATCTACTGGCTTATTAAATTGTCACCCGAGTGCATTCGATTCGATACGTTTGGGATGTGGCCCAGAAACCGCAAAATGCCAAATCTAATGGGGTTTTCGGCCGTAATTGTGTCACTGCAATTAAGTCTTGCTAACTGTGACCAAATTGTTTTAATAAGTCTTTAACGGCCATAAATGAGCTTGGCCTTGAGCAGTCGGGTTGGGAAACTGGCCCCTCTCTTCATTTTTCATTTTTCTTGGTTTTTTTTTTGGTTTCTTGGCTTGTTCGGTTCTGGCCATTACAGCTCAATGCCTCGGAGCTGTGGCTCATTGTGAATTCAGATTCAGATTCAGAATTCGCACACAAAAGCCAAACAAATGGCGGCGTTTGATGCAAATTTCGGAATACCAACACAATACAATTATTCCCATGATGGGCATCATTTTGAAATAGGCACATAAATAAAATATAAGCAAATTCCGTGGACTGGGAGACCGAGACTGTGAATACGGTTTGTAACAAGGGTATCAGTAACAGGAAGGGGTAGTCGCCGTCAGTGGTTTTCCCTTTCGATTCTCCCCACCTGGAATATAGTCTACGTTTATATTTATTTTTTTGCGGCTGCTGTGGTTTTAAACAAAAGTCCATAATTTATGTTACGGCTAAGCTCCCCTCGCCCCTGTCTCTCTTTTATAATTTTATTTTGTAGCTGGCTCTTGTGCAATGAACTGAGTTCGATGGGATTGGCAGCAGGGCGTGTATGGCTCTGATTCGGAGAATGAGCTCCCCACAATATATAGTAGAGTACGGCTACAAAGCCACGGAGTTCATCTAAGTTTAGTTTGCAAAAAAAAAAAGACGGGCTTTGAAATCGGTTTAAAGCGGACCACTTGACCCGCATTGTAGCCGTAATTTCGGCGAGTGTGGGCGCATTTCACTTGGGAGATTGTTGAGACAAACACGGCCATTAAAATCGAACTCCTTACGATTTAGCTTTTGAGCTGATAATTGGCCTCTGACTGCGACTGCGACTTGGACTGGGCCATGAGGTAATAATTGGCAAACCAGTTTTATCTCCAACAGATTTTCAGGTGAAAGTTAACGATTTCTCAGCTCTTTGTTGCGTAGATCTCTTGATCGATGATGGGGCAGTAGGCAGTAGGTGGGCACCATTTGCCTATGAATGCACCATGGCTGATAGTGATAGAGTGTGCGGAGAAACTCCCACTTCCTCAAACCCTCAGACCCTGACATCATCTGGCATTCCCTCTGACCACTCGGTCTGGGTTTGCCTTCAATTAACGTTTTACAACAAATGCAAGCGTTTAAATATTTAAAACCAATATTCCGGCAGCGGTTCGTTTAATGGCAGCATTTTAGCTTAAAAAGGGTGGCATTTACCCCAAAAACCAATTGCCAGACAAGCACGGGGGAGCTGCCCTGCCTGCCCC